GATCCACGAGCGCATGGTCGTGGCGTCGTCGGGGTGTGGTGGCTCGTCCGTGAAGCTGCTCAGCGAGACGGCGCCGCAGCGCAGTGGGCTGCTGAGCGTCATCTTACCCGCGCTGGCTTGGTAGACGCAGATGCGTCGAAGCATACGTGGCGCGCGGAGGACGTGGCCGGCGACGCTGTCCATGCTGCTTCCTCTTCTTGCGTCCGATCAGCAAATGAAATGAACGGAGATTCAGCCGGATATTCTCATGTATCCGGATATGGTTTGACATTGCATCGGATTAATAGCCAATCACGTGCGGGTAAGAAGGACACAGCCAATCCAATGCACGCATCACATGCAAAATGCGTCCAATGCAATTGCGTTGTGAGTTTGAAAAGATCGCATTTTACCGCGTAAATGTCTGGTCTGTGTGTGATCCACATTTCTGGTCTGATATCCACATGTCTGGGATCCGACCACAATGCGACATACAACTTGTGATGTACGAGGTCCACGTTCCCGCTGTGCACGGCTGCCGAGATGGCATGCGGCCCGAAGCCCGCGTAGTCGTGCTCGTGGAAGAACATGATGAGATTGAGGTGGCCGGCCAAGGCGGCGTTGCACATAAAGCGGGGTTTCCATCCAGCAAAGCGATGGCCGTGCGCAAACTTCGCAATGCTCAAATGGCCGAAGAGGCTCACGCAGTACCACACCCAGGCAACCCCACAGTCGTGCTTGTAGAGGAACGCAAGCAGCTCGGCGTAGCCCGAAACGGCCGCGTATATCGTCACGCAGTTGAACGCGACCTTGTGGCAGTACAGGTTGTTCTTGGCGCTATAGCACATGCAACGGCCATGACAGTCGAACTCCACGCGTCGCTGGGCTGCAAACACCCGGGGCTGGAGCACTTCGAGCACCGCCATGTTGCCATACGAGAGCGCATAGGCAACGAGGTGCGGCCAGCAGAGCAGGTCGAGTTGCGAGAGGTCGTGGCGCGAGAGCCAATGACAAAAGCGTTCGTGGTACGTCGCATACGTCCTTGGCAGCGGAACCTCGTTCTCGTAGTTGCAGACGAGCGCGAGGTCCTTGCAGAGCTCCCGCACTTGTCTTGTGCTCGTGTCGACACCATCTTGGTACATACTAATGGCCTGGAAATGGACCTTGGAGAGCAGCACCGAACGTGTGCGCTGCGCGACCGCATTTCGGTACCTTGCGTTTTGAATGCATTGAACGATCGCAGTCGGGGCACAGTAGTAGAGAGCAGTGGCTTCTGTCGCCGCCAAGTGGTCCTGGGCGCCGAGCTGGGCGCAGAGCCGCGAGAGAAGATCCAGTCGCGAGTACTCGACGGCGTCGCACAAGGCGCTTGGAAGCGAGACCGATGCTGGGCCAAGGGCATATGTCACGAGACACTGCACGAATTCGAGCTGGTCGTACTGGATGGCCAGTGCGAGCGTGCGGCGGTCAAAGCCAGTGTAGCCGACATCGAGCAGGAAGCGCAGCAGTTCAAAATGACCACGCTCGGTCGCGCCATTGATGTTTGCGTCGTCCCACGTACCAAGCTCCTGCGTCCAGAGGTATTGCGCCATGTCGAGATGGCCGCCAGCGCAGACACTCGGCCACACATGCACCACCGACAAGCCAGTGGTGCAGAGATACTGGAGCATTTCCACATGGCCTTTCTGCGCCGCGCTCGCGACGCAGCTGCGGGCGCGCATCATCATCGCACTGCCAAGGTCCTCTCTTGCCCGGGGACAAGCATTGCAGTCGTGGGCGTGGAGCAGCAGGAGCTCCGTGGTCCACGACACTTGCCCTTGGTTGACGAGCCACGCAAGGACGGTGGTGTCGCCACACGAGAGCGCATACGCAAAGAGGTGCGGCACACAGAGCGAAGCAAGTGCATCGACGTCAGACGTGTCCACGGGTCGTCGAGGATCTTGGTCCGGCCATGAAGATGCGCAGTCGCAACATCGTCGCTCGGGCGGCAGCCAAGGGCCAACGCTTGTTTCTATACACTCTTATTTCCTTCGGGTTGACCACCAACGACATTTGGAAGGCAGTGTGCACTGGCAGCCAAGTCGACGTCGCCGAGTCCGTTGTTCGCTCCACAAATCTCGATGTGTGGGACGACGCCTACCTCAACGTCGCGGCATTGAACGGCCATTTTGAGCTCGTGTGCTTCCTTGCCCGTCACCACCCTAGTGGTATCAACCAGCAAACCATCACGCTCGCCATCAAGCAGAACCAACTGGCGACAATCCAAGAGCTCCTCGGCCTTGGTCCGTCGCCAAAGCTCTTGGTGGAGCATGCGCTGCAAGCGGCTGTCGAGCATCGTCGTCTTGACATTCTGCGCTGGCTCTGTACGCAGCGCGACGCGCGAGCTTTCTTCAAGGCGACGCGGGCCATGGCCATCTACTACTGCGCGCCGGTCGACATCGTCGAATGCATCGGCGCCGCGTGGACCCAGCACGTGGCGATGCAGCGGATTCGCATGGTGCTTCAGTCTGAGCGCCTCGTGACGACCATTACGTCCTACCAAAATGGCTTTGATGCGAGCACGGTCGCCATGAACGCGCTTTGCAAGGACCTTGCAACTTACCGCACCGAAGATCGCAACGTACGGTGCGTGCGTATTCGGTATACAACCAACGGTTGATGCGCTGGCTGTCTCGCCACGACCTCACGCAGCTCCACCAGCTCTGCCGGCCTCTTTGCGTACGCCGTCTTTTGCGTGGAGCTCTTGACGTTGCTTGAGCCGAAATATCTTCGCACTGACGTAATACTTGACACTCGACTGCCGGGGCCATCGAGCGTGCACTCGACTGGAAATGGACGCGCGCATTACGGTCTCGCCAAGAAATTGGGTGCATCGACGTTGCTTTGAACGCCTTTACAACGGTGCACCTCGAGCTCCTCGTGTTTCAGGCCAAGCTCGGCTTCAACGAGGGCTTCGTGTGGTAACGCGCGAGCCGCCGTGGGCAGCTCGCGATTGTGCGGCTCATGCACAAGAAGGCGCGCGTATGTTCACGAGGACCTCTCCTACGCGGCTGCGAAGGGCCACCTCAACGTGATTCGGTTCTTTCACGAGCACGACTACGACGGCTTTGACAAGGACACGATCGCGTTGGCTGTCGGCAGTGGCAATCTGAAGCTTGTCCAGTTCCTTTTGGCGCACCGAAAGGAAAGCACGCTTTCCAAAGCTTTGCTGGCCGCAGCCGACAAAGACAAACTCGACATCCTCCGCTGGTTGTGCGACCAACCGCGCGCCTCGCGCTATCTTGAGGCGACCATGCAGCAAGCGGAGACGAGTGCAAGCCGCAAGTGCATCGAGTACCTCGCGACACTGCCACGCGCGGCCAAGCCAATCTCCGACGAATGCCCGCTCAAGCGCAAGGCCACCGTGTTGCTCTAAGTCGCATTTTGTATGTGTATACTAACCCAATGACTCGTGAACTCCGACGTCCTCCAATGCATAATCAGATTTAGGATAGATAGATAGATAGATAGATAGATAGATAGATAGATAGATAGATAGATAGATAGATAGATAGATAGATAGATAGATAGATAGATAGCCAACGCCGCCGCCAGCAGCTCGGCCTCACAGCTCTAGCGTTCGACTGCTGAGCAAATGAGTTACAAGCTCCTGCGTCCCCTTGAGGCCTCTAGGTACTAGGTTGACTCCAAACACGGTTCTGGTATATGGTCTAGCTCACGTCAGCAGGCTGCAGTGATGTCTCTCAGTCTGCAGAATCGGTCTCGTCAGCAATGCTTTAAGAGAGTCCATGCGTCGTCCTTGGTGCAACGTCCTTGGCTACTGCTCGTCATCTCAGTACATCGTCGGCGGCGAGCGTTCGAGGAGGTCTAGAGGCATTGGCGCGTACGTGGCACGCTGTCGGGCCAGAATCCTCGCAAGTGCAGGCGCCTACACTCGATAAAGTACGTATCCACAACATACAAATATCAAGTTGATTTCGACTAATATCGCACTTAAGAAAAACCTTTATATAGTATCGATTGTGAGAGGTGCGATTTGCATGCTTGGCACATCTTCATGGGGAACAGCGCAAGTGGCGGCGATGGCGCAGCGACCTCGCTCCTGGACGCGGCCACGACGTCAGCCCTGGAGAAGATCGTGAGCGCGCAGCCGTACATGATGAGCGACGACGTCTGGACGCGCTTCTTCGCGATGGACCAAGCGCTGCTTACGCTGCCCAAGGCGACGCTCGCGGCCTTCCTCCGTCCCTACACGCACGCGCTCGGTAGACATGCACCCTGTCATCTTCCGCCATGAACCTCTGTCTAGCGGCCAACACGGTTGTCTCGGGCAACTTTCGCATGCTCGTGCGCCACGTCACGCGAAGCTTGCCGCATTTTGCCAAGCCGGACGCCGCCCGGCCGCGCCATGTCCTCGGCGCGTCGCTGGCCAACATGACCAACGTCCTCGTCCTCCTGCGCCACTTTTGCATGCACTTTGTCGAGCACAGCAACGTTCTCGAGCTCTTTGCTGCCCAAGGCACGGCCAAGGACCTCGGGCAGAGCTCGCTCCTGCGCCAAGCCAGCACCGCGCGTACGACATCTCTCCTCCTCATGGCGCTCATCCTCCCACCTTGAACATAGCAGCCAGCGACGTGGCCATGGAGCTCTTGGACGCGCTGTGCACGGTCGTGCTCGAGGCGCCACCGACGTCTGTCCATGCGTTGCGTACGATCGATCTCATACCTTGCTGTAGCGACGAGACGTACGATTTGCACCTCGAGTGCGTTAACACGCTGCTGACGCTGCTCTCGTCGCACGCGTTCAGCGCCACGGCGTCGCTTCTCGAGGCGTTTGTGCTTCATGCGTCGCTCGAGACCGTGGCCAAAGGCCTCGTGAAGCGTGTCTTGTACTCGTTTCTCGACGAGCTTCCGCCACCCAACCTCGAGACCGCAGCGTCCGTTGCGGCCCTTGCCGCGCAGTCGTCGGCCCAAGGTCGACACAAGCTCTCCTCTCTATGCCATGTGGACGATGCTCATTTCCGTAGCCTCCTGGGGTGTCCTCGACTACTTTGTCGCGACCGAGACGCCCGTGTTCCCGCTGGCCGACCGAGGCGTGCTTCTGCTCCTTATCCTCTTGCACACGGCGCCGACGTATCATATTCTCCTCATTCGCGCGCACTGACGCTGTTGGGATCCTAGCGAAGCCAATCCATTCCGGAGTGCATTTTGCGAGCTTGAAGATCGGGACCGCAATGTGAACGCAGTGCACGCCGTGTCGTACTCGCAGCTCATCAACCTCCTCGGCCGGTACGCTCCTTGGCTGAGCCTCTGCGCTCTCACTAGCTCGCTTGGTGCAGGTCGCTCTCGACCGAGATAGGCACCTCGCTCCTCTACGCTCTCGTGACCATACATCCAACCTTTGCCTCGGCCATCGCGCAGCCTCTTGACACCGACTTCTTTGTAATACGTTCTTGTCGCCAACGGCTGCTAAGGTGTGGGCTGTAGGGACTTCCGCTGCTCCGAGCCCTGTACGACAGCACCGAGCCGACCTCTCTCTTCGTGTACTGTACAGTGCTTTTGCGGCTCTCGGAGACACCCGCCGTTCTCGAAGCTCTGCACGCGTCCATGGTACTCCTCGAGATCTCTACTTTCTCAATTGCATGGATTAGCTGCATGACCATGTTGAGTGGTATACGGAGAAGTACATGGTTGATATCTCCTTTGCGTCGGCCGCGATCGTTGTGCTTGTGCGCCTTTTGCACAAGAATATGGCGACGTTCCGAGACCCGCGACTGCACACGATGGCGTTTGGGACGCTCTTCAACGTCCTCCAATATGCGCACCAGCTGCACCCGTACGCCAGCCAGAGCCTCGTGCACGCAGTCGAGCACTGGGCAAAGAAGGAAGCCCGGGTCCAAGCCGACCTGGACGGCCTCGATGCCTCACCACATGAAGCCGACGACGTGGCTGGGCATCAGACCAAGGTACTTTTCGTTTGCCATGTAGGACCCAGTGTCGTATTTGGGCTAGCTGCTGGAGAAGCAAGCCATGTACATGGAGTGTCTCCACCTTGGCCTTGGGCTGATCAACGTCGTCTTGTCGGGTCGGCTCTTGCCGCGGAATCCGCAGCTGGTACGCTCATTTGGCTACGAAATACCTACTAGAGGGGTAGATGTACTCGCTTTTGCATGCATCGAGCCTCGTCACGTCGCTGGCCGGGCACGCCGACCTCGCGTTCCAGACGTCGCCAGACCACACGCACGTGCAAGAGATGGTCGCGTACTTTCGCGCGGTCGTCGACATGGAGGAGGAAGCGCACGAGACCGACGAAGTCCACGTGCTCAGCGTCGAGCGCGTCTTCGAGTACATTCAACTGGGCTGCAAGAGCCTCTTTCCAACGGTACAAGCCATAGCCATTGATACATCGAGGTATCATGGAGAGTATAGAACGACCCGCGAGACGAGCCAAACTACTGCTATGTGTTTGACGAAGACGTGGCACTCGCACGCCCGTACTTTGTCTCGATGCTTTGGGCGCTCGTCGTCGAGCTCACTAGCGACCTGCCGTGGGCCTACGACAAGCTGCGGTGCCAGCGCCGCAGTGCGATATAACCCAGTAGATACGTATGACAATGTCATTAGCGTCGTGGGTGCATTGCCTCGCGGTCGCTGCCGGCGGCCATGGGCGTGGGCATGGGCGAGAGCGGGCGGACAGGCGGGTTGCTGCCGGAAGATCGCAATGCAATTTGGATAAAGTGCGGAATCGTACTTTGCTGGGTTGTCGATTTATCGAACGCCAGAATCGTGTGGAGACAGGATGGCCGAAGAGGACGCGCGTGGCAGCGAGCGGAAGGACAGCCGCGAGCGCAAGAGCAGCCGCAAGGACAAGGACCGCAAGAGCAGTCGGCGCGACAGAGACGATGACCGCGACAGGGATCGCCGCCGCCGGTCGCGGAGCTACTCGCCGCGCCATCGCTCGTCGCGCAGCCGCCGATCGCGCTCGCGTTCGTCGCGCCGCGACCGCGATCGCCATGACCGCCGCAGCCGTCGGTCGCGCAGCCGGTCGCCGCGCCGCTCGCGTCGCAGCCGCAGCCGTAGCCCGCGCCGTCGGTCCCGCGACAAGTCGGGCTCGAACGACCGCAAGCCCGAGGTGAAGGCGCCGATGTTCGCGCCCGGCCCGCCCGCGGCCGAGGTGCCTGAGTTCCCGCCCATCGATGCGGCCCCGTCGGCGCCGGCGCAAGCGTCGTCGACGATCACACAGATGATGCAGCAGTACCCGTCGCTGAGTCTGCAAGAGGTGCTGCTCAAGATGTCCCAGACCACGAGCACACTCTCGTCGGCCGTCTCGCTCAAGCCGATGCGCGAACTGTACGTTGGCAACCTCCCACAGAACGTGACGGGCTCACAGCTGCAAGAGTTTCTCGGTACGATCATCCAGCAGGTCGGCCTCTCGCTGCCGGGCCAGCCGGGCAACCCGATCCTCTCGGCGTGGATCTCGACCGACAACCAGTTTGCATTCCTCGAAATGCGCACTGTCGAAGAGTGCAACCTCGCGCTGCTCTTGAACCAGCTCAACATGCTCGGGCGGCAGCTCAAGTTTGGCCGGCCGCGCAGCTTTGTCGGGCCCGCGCAGCCGATGCCCAACATCTCGTCGCGCACGCAAACCGCGCTCGTGAACCTCGGGTGCACGCCCAACCCGATGTGGTTCGCTGGCGGCTCGGCTGCGTGCGGTCTCCAGGACGCTGGCCTTCTTGCGCCCAACTCTGGCTTTACGGACATTGGCCAGCTCCCGCCCGACAACTCGTCCAACCGCCTCCTCATGGCCAACCTCCCGACGGCCCTCAACGAAGAACAGGTACATCTCGATCCCTCTTCTTATGTAGCCATGGAAGGCTCACACCTATCGCAGGTCTCGCAGCTCCTCGAGCCGTTTGGCGAGCTCGCCCGCTTCCTTTTGGTAAAGGACAGCGCGGGCAACTCGACGGGCAGCGCGCTCTTCGAGTACAAGGACGAGTCGGTGACGCAGAGCGTTGTCGACGGTCTCAACGGCCTCGACATTGCCGGGAACGCGCTCGTCGTGCAGCGCGCGCCGCGCCAGGGCACGATTCCCGAGTACAACCCGAACGCGGTGGCGGCCCCGACGCCGACGCCGGTGATCACGCTCGTACATGCTCTTGACACATTGATATTTGATGCTCATACTCGATCCTATGTAGGGCAACATGGTGCAAGAAGCCGATCTGGTCGATGACGGCGAGTACAGCGACTTGAAGGAAGACATTGAAGAGGAGTGCAGCAAGTTTGGCAAGGTCACGACGCTTGTGATCCCGCGCCCGAGCGTACGCCACCGACGTACTTGACCGTTTGGCTGATGTCGTGAGCAATTAGGACGGTCTGCCCGGCGTCGGCAAGGCCTTTGTCCGCTTCGAGACGGTCGATGGCGCGATCGCTGCCACCAAGGTCGGTGACACTCGACCTCTTTTGCATAAGATCTCATTTTGGTGTAGGCATTGACGGGACGCAAGTTTGGCGGCAACGTGGTCGCTGTGAGCTACATGAGCGTCGAGGCGTTCGAAGCCCAGGCGTTCGAGTAGGCTCCGTACTGCTGTCGCATGTAGCGTCTTTTTATATTACAAAACAACTACGCTAGCATCCTCGCTGTACTGTCCGACGCCCGGCCACACTGCGCCAACACGACACGATGGTAGGACTGTCTGTGGCCTCGACGACGCGTAGGGCCGTCGACGAACGCGACAATCCTTCGTTCGTCCCCAACGACACGAGAGGCTCGAGCCATTTCATGTTGCATGTACGCTCGGAAACAAGCATATTCGTAGTCTTCCGGAGGGCGCACTTGGTGAGACCAAGGATCGCAATGCCACCTTACCTTGGCATGCATGCATGCTACCCGCCAAGATGATGAGCCAACGCAAGTGCATGGTTGTCAGTGCAAGGTGTCGGAGGCGCCAATATATTAATAGCCAATCGGATTGCGTCGTGTGGAGAGTTGGCATTCCATTGGTCGATTAATAGCCAATCCGATCCAACCACGCTCCCCCGACAGGGCGGACAACCCGTGTACTAGTACAATTGAACTCGGTAGGAAGCGCGTCGAGTGGTCTAGAGTCTAGAGTCTCTTGGCAGCGACTCGACACGAATGGACGCTCGTTGACCTCCTACTTGCTCGTTGTTTCTGGATGTCGGAGCAGCAGGATGACGTGGCACGCTGTCGTGGCGGCAAGATTGCGGCAAATGTGGTCGGCCACGATCAGCAACGTGACGCGTTGTCGCCAGTCATGGAAGCAGTTGACACGCCAGCGTCCCACGACACGCCGGCCTTTGGTTCACTGGTGATGATTGTGAACCAGTCTCGCCCATCTTTGGATGGTGAAGAGATATTTGTCGCTGGCGAGAAACGTTCAGCTGTCCACAGATCGATTCCCGAGTCACCCAACCCTCGTACCCCGAAGACGCATTCGTCATTGGCAAGGTCATTGGGTCGGCGATACGACGAGAGCAAGGATGAAGTCGGCACCAAAACATTTGCATAGTTTTTGGCTGCGTGCGCTTGATGATCCAGGCTCGCCCGAGGGTAATCGCTCGCATGTCGCAGGTTCCAGAGCGAGTTTGCACTTGCCCTCGCGGTTTGATTGGCTAAAACGTCTGTCCCGTGGCTTGATGGGCTCATCGTCATCGTGGCGCATTCGACTGCCACACTCGAATATTCACACACCATGGCAGTTGCCTCCTACACGCTTTACGGGGCTTGTGAAGGCCATCGAAACAGCTCCAGTAGCTCCAGCGCAGGGCCGTGTCTGGTCGCCAAGGACGGCAATGGCACGTTAACCAGTGTCGAAGCGGCGAACGGGGTCGTCAACCTGCAAAACGCTAGCATAAGCGATGTCGCTAGCTTCCCGCCGACCGCTACTGTCGTGTACGACCGCCTCATCAAATGGTCTATAGTCATATTGCTGGATCTAGGGACCTCTCGATGAATGCGATCGCCCAGCTTGGATCCGACCCTGTGCCTGCCTTGCGGCTTTTGTACGTGGCGCTTCGTACGCAGCCTAGCCTCATGGAGTGTACTTGGCATGTGATAGGAACCTGAGCCACAATGAGTTCCGTACGACTGACGCACTGCCGCGATTCGCCGCCCTTCAGACGCTGTACGGTCCTTGTAGTGTCGCCATCGACTGATCTTGTTGTTGTCGTAGGGACTTGAGCTACAACGCCATTGCGTACGTGGGTAACTTGACGCTGGCGCTGCCGAGCGTCACGCGCTTGTATGCATTTGCCTCTCGCGTCTCCAGCTCATGTTTCCACGTAGGAGTTTGGCCAACAACCGCATCACCGCACTTCGCAACCCGACGTTTCCACTGAGCCTCCAGTCATTGTACGCTCTTTTTTGCTTACATCCATTCCTCATGCGTGACTAGGGACCTCTCTGGCAACACCATGACAACGTTTGACGTGTCCTCAGCGACGTTTCGCCAGCTCAACGCGCTGCCGTACCTTTCACTGGGCAACTTTAGCATCACGGCGTGCTCGGGCGCGCTGCACCTTCTGCGGTCGAGTGTCGTGTGTGTCCTCGACTCGGACACGCCGCCTTCGACGCTGCTCATGAGTACGTCCTCTCTTTGAGCCGCTTGCATCTTGAATCTCAATTTTGACAACTGTAGCGGCGTACGGCCAGCTCATCATGGTCCTCAGCTGCATTGGTCTCTTCGTCTTTGCGTATCTTGTGTGTGCCAAGCGCGTGCTCGACTCGCCCGGCCCGCCCGCCAACCAACATCTGCGGGATACGTGTCTGAGCTCGGCCTACTCGATCATGGAGGACGACCCGATGGAGTACCGCATCTCGCTCTCGATCGAGATGGACACCAAGCCGTTCGAGACGATTCTGTTTCACGACACACGGCTCATGCCGCTGCAAATGGCGATGAAGGACATCAAGAAGCTCAAGCTATTGTCGTCTACAGCGTACACCATGTACGTGGCCGAGCGACACGGTGCCAAGGTCCACGCGACCATGCTCACGCCGTGCACGATCGAAGATACGCCGACGTATCTTGGTGGCCTCGTGCACGAAATCGCTTTTCTCGCGCGGCTCTCCCACCCCAACATCGTGCCGCTGCTTGGCTTTGCCACGTCGTCGTCGCTCCTCGACTTGACGGTCGTGACCGAGTTTATGGCGCTCGGGTCGCTGGCGGACGTCTTGCGCGATGCGAACGTCGTCAAGTACCTCCGCTGGACGACGCCCACGAACGGAGTCGTGCCGCCCAAGGCGCAGCTGGCCCTCGACGTTGCGACAGCCGTAGCGCATCTGCATGCGCTCGACGCCCCGGTTCTGCACAATGCGATCTCGCTCGACCACGTCTTTGTCTCGAGCGAATGGCGCGCTCATCTCGGCGCCTTCATGTACGCGTCGTATCTCGACGAGCCCAAGACGATCCTCGCTCCCCAAGCCGCGCCCGAGGTCGTAGCCAACGGACTCCGCTCGACGCACTCGGATGTGTACTTGGTCGGGCGGCTCATTGCTGACTTGGAGGTGGCGAATGACATGCCCGAGACAGTGCGCGCGATCGTGGTGTCGTGCACAGCGCTGGAGCCGACGGCCCGCCCATCGGCGCTCGAGGTCGCGACCCGCTTGCACCACTGTCTCTCGAGTGCCAACACGGTTGACGCAACCGTGTGAGGCATGTGCGTTCGATAGGACTTAGTACAATTCAGTTATTCGTTGTTGAAGTATCCATTATTTGTTGGATCTCGTGTATATGAGTCGACTTTTGTAGAGAGGACGCATGCTTCACGCGGATCCAGCCTCGATCGCATGACTCGATGGTCGATGAATGCAAGGTAAAGATAGGACGGAATGTTGACTCGTGAGTCCGCACAGCCTCCACGTCAACGTATATCGATTGGATCACTTGCAGCAAGGGATCACCGCAGTACAGTCTGTATGCGAGCGCGATGAAGTCAGCTGCACCAGGCCACATGGGCGGAGGCGTTCAAGATGAAATAGCCATATCCGATCTTATTTGGCGCCACATGGGAACGAATCAAAACGGCGGCGTTGCGCGGCGCCACGTGGAATACATGTCCTTTTGCATTTTTTTTCAAACCATGCGAAATTCCTACGGAAAAGTTGTGCGTCGTCGAAACCATCGCCAGCCATGGCGACTCGGAACCCTGAGAAACAATGGAAAATCCTAGGAATTTCATACACGTATCTGCCGCTGCGACTCCCATCGACTTGATTAGGGCTCGTGTATGTATCGATGATTAGAAGGTATTCTCCGGTCCAAAAGAAAATACATTGTCGACTGTCCAACACCGACCAGTTTGTCGACTTCGCCGATCTTCCGGTGCGGACAGTCGCACCGGATTGGCTACTTGTTGAGATTGCCGTTTGCAGCAGCCAATCGCAATCGACCGGGTTCCGACAGGCTGGATGCACTTGCCGATTTGCCACCTGATATGAAAACGCACTGTCTCCTTCTCATCGCGCTCGCCGCGAGCGCCGACGGCCTCAGTACGCTCTACGGGACGTGCCCGGTCACCAGCCCCGCAAGCGCATCGCCTTGTGTCCTCGGCGCCAACGGCAGCGTCGAGGCAACGTATGCTGTCGACAGCAATCGCCGCTTTGTCGTACAAGGCGCCGGCATCGACGTCGTGCAGTCGCTCCCAGCGACGGCCACCAGCATGTACGAGCATGGATGTCAAATGACGTGCTCACGCCACTGTGTAGCAATCTCATGATGAACGAAATCACGTCGGTCGGGCTCAGTCCGTCGTCCGCCGTGCAAGCACTGTACGGCGCCACAGTCATGCCAAGGGTCTCATGCTGCGTTCTAGGAACCTGAGCTACAACCGCGTTGCGTCTCTGGACGCTATTGCGAGCCTGCCAACTCTACAGTCGCTGTAAGTGTTATCGTCTTTGGACCGACGCCTCACACCTTTCATTCAGGGATCTGAGTTACAACAACATCTCTGACGCGTCGACCTTGAGCGCGCAGCTCGCACGCTTTCCCAACCTTGCGTCATTGTACGATGTACATAATTTCCATGTAAAGTAGGACGCTCCGCTCATACGATCACTAGGAGTCTGCGTGGAAACCGCATCTCGTCGATTCAAAACCTCAAGGTGCCGCCAAGTCTGCAAGCATTGTGCGTCGTCCATCCAGGATCTACGGACACTAAGAACTGAATCTTCCGCTAGGGATCTCTCGGGCAACATCATCACGACGTTCGATGTGACGGTCGCTACCTACTATGCACTGGCGGCCTTGACAACGCTCAACCTGCGCGGCGTCTACATCACGTCCTGCGCCGGCCAAGTCGTCATGCTTCGGCAGGCTGCCGTGTGCATCACCGACGCCCCTGGTCCCTCCATGCTCCGCAGTACGCGCTTATGCTGCCTCCAACTCTCGCGCTCATATTTGTGATAGGCATGTACGGACCCATTTTTGTCTTCTTTGGCACGGTCCTTGCGCTGCTGGTTGTCTATTTGGTCGGCAAACGTCTTCTTCTCGGGCCGCCGGCGCTCACCGATCATACGCTCCGCGCCACGTGTGTTAGCTCGGGCTACTCGCGCATGGACGACGATCCGGTCGAGTACCGCATCTCGGTGTCGCTCGACCTCGACACCTCCGACCTTACGAGCCGCCTCCGCAACGATGAGGCACTCACGACCGCCCACAAGCTCCACCTCAAAGACATTCGCAAACTCAAACTCATCAGCGCAACACCGCTCTACACGACGTACGTCGCCCAGCACTTGGCCATGAA